CTGGAGTTCAGACGTACGCTCTTCCGATCCCCCCAAAACCCCAAAACCCCACTAGGCATTCATAATCAATGTAATAAAAATGAGAGCAAGAAAATAAGAATGGAATTTGCTTAAAAGAAAAGTAGACAAAGTAAGTTTTGATATTAGAATTAATAGGGTTTGATATAGTATGTTTGATATAAATTCTTTGGTATCATGGTAGACTCAAATACATAGTCGATTTGTGAGGTGTTCACATTGATATTTTTCTCTCGGATTTAGAAACGAGATTGCTAAGCAGATTAAAATTATGGGCCTCCTCGCTAGACTTACGTTGATTTAGCTGTTTCAACAGAGCTAGGAGGTTTACACGGGAATTATCCTCGTCAATATTAGGGAGGACAGGCTTTTAACCTAAGCCTAGGTTAATACAGCCTTTTGGGATATTTAATCCATTCAAAATTTGACCTTTAGGGGATCCCATTGAAGAATTTTGATCTCTTGCCGATGATGACGACATTGATGACTTAGTTGAATCTGAATGAGCAGTAGCTTATGATTGCATTTGCTAACCTTGAGGGTTGAGTAATTGCATTAGAGTGTTCTATAATGTCAAATTTTGCATGACACTTGAACTGTTGCTATTCCCTCCTTGACTGATAATGCTCTGGTAAAGGCTCTGAATGCCCGGGCTCATTGACTGAGCTGATTACTAAGCGGGAAGTCCAAGCCCCATAGCACCCATTTGCTGGGAATGTGCTTGTTAGTTAGATGCGCCAGATTAGCTCATCATTTACGTGATGAACATCATCTGTTAGGTTTGGGCTGTCTCTAGTTTGCGCTGAAGGCTTGTATTCTCCTCCATCTTTTGATAAAGCATTATCGTTATTTCATTAATCTAAAATTTTAAAATGTAAGGTACTAAATAAAGAGTGAATGGGGTGACCTTACCTTGTCCTTCAAAGTCTTGTTTTCTTCTTGCAGAGCCATTACGTCAGCTTTCATATTCGAGAATTCTTCCTTTTTCTTGAGACGGCATTTCTTGGCAGACTTCCTGTTTTGCTGGAGTCTAAATATTATAAAATTTAAACATCGATATGGGCAATAAAATATATTACCTTCTTTCTCTGCGCTCGCTACTGTCGAGACCCGCATCTTCACTATTATCAACTGAGCCCTCTATTTCAGCTTTGAGGTCGTCAGTAGAGGTCTCGTTTCTAACCCTTTTACCTAATATACCAGAATAAGTATCAGAATCATCGAATTGTTGCTGAGATTCTATAGTTTAATCTGATATATTATTTTGCTTTGGATTTCTTTGGGTACGCATTATTGGACTTTAAGTTTATTTTTATTAGTATATGAAAATGATGATTTAAGAATGATCACCTATCTCAAGTTATCTATTAATTGTTCTATTAACCAGTATTTATTTTATGACGTATTTTATCATACTAAATGATTCAAAATCATAGTAAGCTCACGGGGTTTTGGGGTTTTGGGGTTTTGGGGTTTTGGGGTTTTGGGGTTTTGG